GCAAACCCAATGCCATATGGCAACGATCCTTTTCATTTTAGATCTTACAAAAGTGCAAATTATTTTACATAATTTTTATTTTAATTGTGAAATGACTGGCCATACAAAATGTCCGTGATATTTATGTACATATAAGGTTATATATATATACATACAAGGACAAGTCACAAAAGAAAACTCATTATTATAATACTAAAAACCTTTAAACAATAACTACCCATAAAGTAATGCTGTGAACACAACTTTTTGGATGTGGGGGTGGTAAACGACACCCTCAGGTCTGTAAAGATTCCATGGGTCTTCCAGAGTTCTGGGATTTAAATTTTCCACCGCTAAATATGATACTGCTGCAACCACCTTCCAACCACACTCAGTTAAACAGATAGTTTTTCTGTTTTTTTAATGGATTAATTAATTATTTTAGCCAGACCCATAGGTCGTGATGTAATTACAGAATTTGTGAGTAAACTTTCCTCTGGCTGATGTAATGCATGACTAACTGAGGATGCTGTGTTCCTAAACTGGACACACTTGGACCTATTAACCATCCAATTATACTGCACCACCAACTTCCATAAATCTTAGCCATTGAAATATCAATGTCATTTAAACGTTGTCTGCATATACTAGCCTAAAAGATACATTTTTTTTAAATGTAGTTAGAATCTCCTAAAGAATATATAAATGCTTGGACATTTCCAACAGCTTGAGCATCATTCAGCGATTATATGATGCTGAATTATATGAACCATCGTTCACATCATTACCATAGATCCTAATTTTAAAAAAGCCTCACATTGAACCATCAGAAACTAACACATTTTCATTAGCAAGTCTTTTTAGAGCTGTGACTTGTGGTTTAATGTTCTGTTAAACGCAACCGCCCACAGCTTGTTCAAAGCCTGTGTACGTTTCTCTAAAACGCTAGATACTCGCTTAGCTGCTCACCGCACATGTTGCTCTAGAGCTTGCGAAATGGTCGCTTCTATTCACAACTTTTAAACTGTGAAGCTCTTTGTTTTCAGAGTCTTTGTGAGCCTGAATTGCATGTAATTGCATTTAAAGGCTGGTATCTGCCCTGAGCTGTTCCTATGAAAAGCAATGACATGACCAGTCACATGTCTGACCTGCACTCGTTGTTTACAAGACAGAATATTAGACACAGGGGCTGCCCCATCTCTGTATATGGGAGGTAACCACTTGTCCTCATCTGGTTGATCTCCTAAGTACTTGTTAGCAACACAAGCATACATACACCTGTGCAACTAAAGCTCTAGATGAAAACAACTATTCAAATTCAGTGTCTGGGCCCAAGCATCCAGGACTCTGGATGGATACTCAACACTAAACTGGTGTCAGCAGTAAATGTTTTTATTGCATGGTGCAAATGGGAATATGTCATCCATTTCACTTTGAGTCTGGAAGGGCGCAATGCTGCAGCATTCCTCTTAAGGAGAATGCCAGGTGGCTGACTTGATTCAAAAGTAGCGGTACACCAGGTTACAAACAGACAGAGGCCCCTCTATCAAAAGAGGAACTTGCAACTGCTTTAACAAAAGTAAGTAGTTCTGGAAAACACAGTGTTTGCAATGCGTGGTTTCATAAGATTGATTTCAATACAGTCTTTAAATGGGTGCTTTTGGTTGTTTGGTTATTTTGTAGCCTTTTGTCATGAGATGCTTGACTATGTGATGTTTTGTGACTAATTTAGTGAATACACTCTAAGCAAAAAAGGCCAAGTCGTGTGGTTTACATGGGAAGTGGTCTGACACATCATTAATCTGTGAACATGTGACGTGTAGCTCATCTCTGGTGAGATACAACAATGATAATGAGTGAAGTGATATTCATTTTCTGACACCAACATGCTTGAAGCATAAAAAGACACATTTGATGAATAAAAAAAATGTTTAGTCATCCTAACTTAACAAAATTTCAACACAGTCCTCAACTTTGAAAATAGACACCAAAAATTCTGAAAGTTGACTGAAGTTTCTGTAGAAATGCCTGCTTCTAGCTTTTCAACCAGTTCGTGTTCTTACTATAGGGGCATATACTATTTGGTTATATTTTATGACCAAAGTAAAACCTGGTATCATCTATGCCCTGGGAAACAGGATGTAAATGGACAGTCTCAACTCTAGAACAACAGAAAGAACCCATTCAGTGGGCAGTTTCAGTGGAACATCGCCCACCAAAGCTGGAGACAAAAAAAAAACGGGGGTAGCAGGTGGGTGGGAGTCGTCAACTTCTTCAACAAAAAGGGCATTTCCAAGAAGAGATTGCAGGCCACTCTTCCTTATTATACCAAGACCATGTGTTTTTCTTGGCTAAACTGACTGACCATTTGTTCCGCTTTCTTTCCCAAACTATGATGTTATATATGTTTTGGACAAGAAATTATTATCTCTAGTTGTTTGCATGCATCAAATACAAAAGAACTGATCTTCTCAAAATATTCTCTAATTTTCTTTAAGTTGATACTGAAAAAATCTATTATGTAATCATCTGTGATAGCGAATATTCTGCTAGTAGCCTGTATCTCATACCTGAGAACCCTGTGCCAGTCTGAGCTTGTTTCAGGAATCAGACAGTTTCGACACAGAGAATGTGTGTTGCTCAATGGAAATGGGGAGAGCAGTATGAAAATGTGATGCAAATCTGCCCGAGCAGTCAACAACATATCAACAAAGGAATGACTGCCTGGACTATTTTAGCAGAACACTACTGCTTTGAGTAAAAATTCAAACATACCCAACAGTGAAATGATTGTTATCTCATGAAACTTTTCACTTATAAATAGTTTGGGATTTATGCATACTGGAGTCATGGTCACATAAGTTTATATTTAAATTGAAGTCAGCTTCAACTGTGACAAACATTTCTTAGATTATCTTATATTGACAAACTAGCACTTTCTCCATGATCATCAGTGCTAACATCTCTCTAAAAACTTAGTTCAAGAACCCTCAATAGCTGAAATATGAAGGGACATGGACAAAGAAACCTCAGAGATATCCTCAAAATCTCCAGTTAGCTACCAATCCAGCAGGTTCCTCAATCTACTATGTCAAAGCTCATTCTAAAAACTCAATTACTGAAAAAACTGAAAGACTAACAAACCATAGTCTGCAACATGAGCCCCAGCAACAGCTCTCAAACCATCCACGCTACACAATGCTATGACAGGAAGAGGACAAATATTCTTTCTCAGGCCCAGCCCTCTTCTGTTCTCCACGCTAGACCAGCTAGATCAGTTTGGTCCACCCCTCCTGCTCAGCAGGACCTAATGATCCAATTACAGGCAGGGACTTGTTGACGCTGTTTTATGTGAAGAGCCAACCTGACACTACCGGCCTTGCTGCCAACTGTGACAGAAACTCAGGCCTGAAGAGAAGCCCCAAACAAAGCAATCCACAGCAAAGGGGCCTGTGTTTGACTACTAGCCAACTCCAGGTGCCCTGGCTCATTTACAATACAAATCAGGGACGGTCGGGAGGGGGGCATAATTGTGTGAGTGGTATTGGTATCTCCAGCCTAACAGGGGGTCTGACGAGATAAGACTATTAAAGTAAAATCTGATATTGTCCTGAACACCTGAGGTCATATGACATAGGGTGTGTAGGGTGGGGGAAAATTCCCTAAAAGTCCAAGTTTTCAGACCTCCACCAAAAAGCCTTCACATGTGAATTTGATTGAACAGAAAGGATGTACTGTTTGTACTTTGTACTGTTTTTACATTAATAATAACGCATATAAAAACCTTAATATGATAATAGTTGAAATTGTTTGAAATATTACCAAAACATGAATTGTTACCATAAAGATAGTGCCCATTTGACCATCTGTAACGTCAACCAAGATACTAATTTGCCTAAAACTCTTTCAACATCACTCTTGACCACATGTTTGAACATAATCATGTTAAAAAAAAAAAAATTACTGTTTTCTCTACGAGACTGGTTGCCTTGCTACTTACAAGCTAGTCTCAGCGCATACCATGGAGATGACACAAGTTACTATATTAAGTATGGTGTCAGGCATAATTACACGTGGAAAACTCAGGCAAAATGACGTTCTTTGAGGGTTGTATCTTAAAAAAAGAGAAAGAGCAAAAAGTGGTGCTCAGGGAAAATGACTAATTGTTTGTCACTCTGCTCTCAATGAGATACTGAGGTTTCTTAGCACAACAGGATGAGCAACATTCAGACCAGGTTTCAAGGCAATGATGAGGCCTGATAAGCCAGTCTAAAATCAAACTGAAATCTACAACCCCACGTAATGGAATCAATGACACACTATACAAAACAGCAAAACCATCACTTACGCAAACAAAAAGCACATTGGCGCTCAGGTTATTTGTATGCATTGTGCGTCGTTGGCAACTTTGTGAGCATATGGCTAAAACAGGCAAAGATTTAATCGAAAAGTATATCTTGACACTGAAACCCACTCTAACCGTCATCTGGGCTTGGTCAATAGACTTACAAAACATGATTGCCTACCTCATTCTCGGTACCCATATAAGGCAATGATACTTTGCAAAACATGTGACTATAAACTTTTAAATACCACATATTATATAACAATATGCTTAGTTCGATTTTTATGACTGCAAAATGGCCTTTCATGTAGGGAAAATGGCGCTAAAACTGTTTTTACAGACGTCTGCAGCAATATATTATATAATTGTCGATCATGCGACCAATAGGGGATTATTAAATGTAATCCAAATGCACAGATATTTAGGCTAACTGTTTAGCTGCATCAAAATATAGGGTATATATATATATAAATGCTGTGTTTAAATGTTGACCTTAAAAAGAAAATCAGACAATGTAACTTCATAATAAACACAATGTATATTGCATATACGGGTATATATGTAATAAACAATGAATAATGCTTACAAAGTTAAGAATGCAGACAACAGATACTTGGCGCTAACAGATCTACAACAGCATACTATTACATCATAAAGATATAAAATGGACACTAACCTTAAAGGTTCAGGGGTTTCATGTCAAACTCCATGGTTATGGTGGAAAACATATCAAAATGTTGGAAAAATAAAGAAATAATCTTTGAAAAAAAAGAGAGCGAGACAGATTACGTTGACGGGAGTAAAAAAAATAGTAATCCAAGGGTGTGTCTAAAGTGAATCGAATGGCATGTTCAAGGTGTTGAACACTGACCTGCCCTCTGCCTCTCCCACTCACTTTAGTGGTAGATAGAGCGAAAATGAGAACAGAGTAGGGGAGGGCAATGGCAGCGGGCTGAAATCTTTAAAAAAAGAGAAGTACTGCAAAGCAAAGCTCTCTCTCACTGTGACTCATCCCCCAAGTAACCACTGACAGACAGGCTGTAAAACAGAACTTCAGCATAGGGCCAATCAGCTGCAAGGGCAGAGCTAATATGCAAATGAGTTCAGGTGAGCTCAAGCTGCAGTTTCGATTGGCTAGCGAGTGCAGTGGGGGAGGGGAAACCTGGACAAAGTAACAATCAGACTACACCATGAGCTATGTGAGATGGGTAACACAAGACTGGGTAAGAGTGTAAAGGTTTTCATCAGCTTGACGTAGACGTGGCAAGAGTACAGCAAGCACGGGGAATTCTACCCAGATGAAATGCTCTTTCAAAACGAGATGTTTCAAGGACAGCGAAAGCTAAATCCACATCAACTGACTAGATCTTTCTGTAGTTCTTGTTTTTTGTGGTGCCAGAGCTTTTATTTGAGAAGGTGAAATGGGAGTGGCCCTCCAAGCTATATGACACCCCATAAAGCACCCTTTATGTTTGATATGAGGAATGAAAAAGGCCATGAGTTATAAAACTGGAAGAGCCGCCCCACCTGGTTGCGCTGTTGAAAAGAACACAGACGAGAAACACTTCCAATTCTTCCAAGGCCCTTCCACTGATTTCTACGTTGCCATGTTCTTCCAACCAAAGGGAAAGTACAGAATGTGACTCTGCTGCTTGGTTCAGCTATATTCCAATATTTCAGCATTAAAGGGATAGGTCACCCAAATCATCATTTACTCACCCTTATGTTGTTCCAAACCCGTATGAATTTCTTCTGTGGAACACAAAAATATATATTTTGAAGAACTTAAGAACCATACAATGAAACTCAATGGGGTCCAAAACCACACTGGATTGCACGAATAAACAAGACATTTTTCAAAATATCTTTTACGTTCCACAGAAGAAAGAAAATCTTACAGGATTGGGACGACATGAGGTTGAATCCTCTGCGCCAAATACCCCTATTGAAGTGACCAAGATACCAAATGAATGTCAATCTCCCATTAGGTTTCTTCACCCTATTTTTGTGCATATGGGGCATAACCCTTGTCAAGCATTTTTATCTGAGACAATCCAGCTGACAAACAGGAAGCCAGGGTATGTGGCATGGCGTGGCTTAGTGAAAAGCGCTGAAGTGCACTGGGTTTTGTCAACGCACCATTTAGACGAGTAAATGAGACAGTGAATGCACTCTAAACAGACAAATAGTCATTTAATTGACACTTTGCCAACTACAGTGTTGGTTACGTTAGGGCTTACTGTCAACTACCTGCCTCTTTCTGAGAAAACCTTAACTGTACCAATGAACTGTTGGGGTGTAAAAAAAAAAGCTGTCAGGCCTCTTGGGCAACCTTTCTGTCTAGTGGGCGTGTTCTCAACTATCTTAAGAATACGAAGCCATAGTATTATGTATTGCATACACACCATCCTTTACAGACTAAAGAGGATTACAAGAAAGCAGAAAAGGTAAGAAAAGGGAGAAAAAATAAGTACCATGAGGTGGAGTGCTGGGTATTATGTTCAACTCAGCACTGAGAACGTGATGGAAAGTGTGTAAACACACGGCGAGCACCTGCCCCTCTATGCCAACAACATGTATGACATGAGGCAATGATTATATAAACCATCTGTGACATCAAGTGGGGCACATCAAACAAGTCCAACAGACTCCACATCACTGAAATAAATGCACAAAGAGATGAGATTTGCATATAATATTAGTGTTTCCCTAGAAATGGCACAGCACCCAACAAACACATAATACACAGTAAAATTAGCTAATCATAATAAGAATAACTCTTTTTGTTTAAACAAATTTGCTTGTTTGTATGAAATAATAGATGAACAGGTCATATTTGCCTCAATGGAAACAAAAGACAGTACAAAATGACTGTCATTATCTAATTAGTAAAATTAGATGTTCACGGTACTATAGATCAATGTAATATAATATTTGTTTGTATACAATTATGACCTTGGATAAATTATGCATGAGTAAATTATGTATGAGTAATTTAATTCAACCTACAATATAAATAAACAGCAAAGAAATTAATGAGGAATAATTTTTCTCTACAGAGAGTGTTGAGAGAATTCAGTTGCCCTCACAGCAACCAGACCCTGATCACATGCCTTTGCTGACAAAGTTCAAAGACACACCTTTCCTATACAGCCTAAAAATAAAACCAGCCCACTCGCCTTTACTAGCGCTGCATGACTGAGTCCAAGCAAAACACAGCCGAGCCACAAGAAGGCCTCATTTTCTGCTGTGTGCCGGTTTTAAAATGTAGATGGCACACTTTGGTTTTACCCATGTCCGGAGTAGATCTTTTTTTTTTGTCTCCTCCTATAAATTTACTTCAAATTAATTGCTGACATAAAAATATAACTGTGGCTTGAGTGCTCTCAGGAATGCTAATGTAAACTCATTCAGGTTAAATTCAATTTACTCTAACCAGCTGACATGTTCTGTCTTGATATAAAATCTTTACAGTTTGTAGTGAGAACATTAAATAACTTGTAAATGTCTTATAATCGGTGATGCTAATGGAACTCCACATTGCCCTTTATAATATGACTTAGCCTACATCACTGTGAGATGGAAAACAGTGGCATATTAGAACAGGTCCAAAAATAGTCATAGCCTTGAGATAATTGACAAAGACAAAGCACTTCTCAGGGCTGGTCGTGTTGTTTGTGAGAAACTGAGGTCAGGTGGTGACTGCTTCAAGAGGCTTTGTGCACAAAGAAAAGCCCTCCCTCCATAGCATCCTGGTTAAGGGCCGTCCTCAAAGGACCAAGGGGCAATAGAAAAAGGCAGTGAAGCAAATTAAATCCAGACAGAAGGGCCATGGCATGAAGTCAATATACGAGGAAGATACTAAAATCTGGTATCTTGTAGGAATTATGGTTTTAAGCATGCCTGTATGTGGATGAAAAACAAGGTTTCCTGGCTTTAAATTAGCTTTACCAACCATTTTCATCACAAACATGACCTTCTAAAGTCCTTGGTGACCAGAATTCAGTTCATTACATGCTTCAATACACTGACAAAGTAAAGGTTAATTGAATGCCATGCCACAATCCACAGGATTCCAAGGTAACAACTTTTGTAAATACGAATGTAGACCAAAAGATTATATCTGGACAACCTTGAGAAATCCTGTCAGCTAAGAATGACGAGAGATGTGGGATTATGAACAGATACAACATTCCTGACCTCAGTAAGAAATGAGTGGATGTGAAGTGGGATAGGGGGAGTTTTAAAGGAAATTCCGTTACTGCACTAAGGTGCGGAGTCATTCCTTCCATGACCCACAATGTGCAATAAAGTGTCCACGTCTCTAACAGGTAAATAAAGACACTCCTACTGAGAAAAAAAAAACGCCTCCAGCAATTAAGGCTGCCATTACAAGTTTAATATCAGCTCCACAGAGTCAAGATTTGTTATCACTGTAATTTTGTACATTTCTAACTACTGGTTAGGTAATATGGAAAACATTAAAGGTGGAATTAAGCAAGACTGTCATAAAAAGAATGTTTAGTTTTAGAACAGCTCATAATTCTCAGCAGTTATAACAGTTTGATTCAAATTCAAAATGAAAATTCTGTCATCATTGACTCACATTCATTCAAGAAACCTATAGTCATGGCCAGAATTATTGACACCCTTGGTAAATACAAACAAAGAAGCCTCTGAAAATAAATCTGCATTGTTAATCCTTTTGATCTTTTATTAAAAAAAATAATATTTTTTTAAATCACAAAAACCTATCCTTTCACAGAAGTAAAACAATTTAAAATTTATTAAATAAATGTTTTTCTCAAATACACGTTGGTGACGATTATTGACACTTTTCTAAACCTCCATTTGCAAAGATAACAGTTCTGAGTCTTCACCTGTAATGCCTGATGAGGTTGAAGAACACCAGACAAGAGATCAGAGACCATTCCTTCACCCAGAATCACTCCAGGCCTTTCCGATTTCCAGGTCCATGCTGGTGCTTCTCTTCAGTTCACCCCACTCATTTTCTACAGAGTTTAGTTCTGAGGACTGGGATGGCCAAGGCATAAGCTTTGTTTTATGCTCAGTGACCCATTCTTGATTTTTGTTTTTGGATCATTGTCCTGATGGAAGATACCATGGCCCATTATTAAACTTTTTTTCTGTTGGTATTTGATTGAATCCATCATTCCATCTGAACAAGATATCAAGGACCTCTGGCAGAAAAATAGGCCCACAACATTAAAAATACAGCAGTATATTTTATTGTACGCATGGGGTACTTTTTTACCCCTGTGTGCACCAAACCCATCTTGTGTGTTTTCTGACAAAAAGCTCTTTTTTTTTTTTTTTTGCTCAGTTTCATCTGACCACAGAACCTATTTGAAGATCCAGTCGTGTCTCACAAATGAATATGCTGGAATTTGTTTTTGGATGAGCGCATTTTCTTTTCTTGATTTTTTTTTCTCAAAACCCTCCCAAACAACATGTGATGATGTAGGTTTTGTTTGATCCGTTTTTGAGGCTTTATGACCCCAAAACTCAACTATTTTCTGCAATTCTCCAGCTGTGATCCTCGGAGAGTGTTTGGCCACTCAAGCTATCCTCCTCACCTTGCATTAAGACAGTTTAGACACATCCTCTTCCAGGCAGGTTTGTAACATTTTCTGTTTATTGGAAATTCTGAATTATTGTCCTGATGGTGGAAATGGAAACTCTTTTCTTACAGCCACTTTCTATTTTGTAAAAGTCAACAATCTTTTCTTGCACGTCAGAACTATATTCTTTGGTTTTTCTCCTTGTGATGGATGATTAATGGGAATTTGGCCTTTGTTTTCCCTCATATTTATATTCCTGTGAATCAGGAAGCCATGGCTGGACAAATTCATGTTTGTAGTTACCCTGGTGTGCTACAAATGCAGAGTAAATATGAAAGGGAATATATTTATGAGAGATATTTGACTCATAATAATTTTTAGGAGTGTCAATAATTGTGGCCAA